TTTGCGAAAACAGTAATTTTTTTGTAATCCATTTAGAAAATATTATTCAAGTAGCAAAATAGTTAAACATTGATGCTGCTGAATTGACTGATGTTATATATTTTCAGCCCCAAACAAACAGTTCTCCTTGAGTAAGATAATTGCGTTCAGAACAGAGTGGTGTTGGTGGAGATGACGTCACTATGTGGTTGAATGTTGTGTTTTACATGCATGCACGAGCTTCTATATTGTGATATATTTATTACAATAAACGATTTACGCTTTTTGTTTTGATAACTTTTCTTTGAATTTTTAAATTTTATTTTAATGCAAGTTGGTGGTTATTGTAATTAGCTTAACTGATAATTTGTTATCCAAATGTATTCTCCAACAAAATAGATCACATATGTCGTTACGTATGACATTACAAATATTTAAATTATTTTAGCACACCATATTTCTTTTGCTTTAAATTTAACTTAATAATGATTAATTTAATTAATTTGTTAAAATAATTTTAAGACGAAAGAAACGAGAGAATTGGACTTGACTAACAAAAACTTAGGAGAAGCCAAAAGAAGATAGAATACTGTGTATCTTCAATGAAATTGACAAAACGGCATGGCGTTAGGTTTACAACCAGAAAGTCTCGAGTTTTAATCTGGGTCCAAAACAGTAGAACGCCCCTGAGTCCACTTTGCTCGGATGGTAAGTTAGGGTAAGTGTAAAGGCTTGACAAGGTGCTGACTACACCTTACGTTCATAAGCCGATGTCAAGGTTTCAAATAAACTCTACTTCGTCTGTCCAATGGATTGTTTGTTCTAACGAGGATTATTTAATTCCTTTATTAAAGCAAATGTAGAGAAATAAGGGCTATGTATAGGCCTACAAGATAGTTTATACAGCTGATGTTAATTGATGAACGCTCGGGAGATCAGACTACTGGACTTAAAACTAAACAGTCAAGAAAATAGTCTGTGGAAGTATAAACAAGGACTGCAGGACTCACATGGGCTGAACTAACGAAAGCTGCACACAGCAGATTCAGTCGGAAAAGTGTAGCAGCAACCCTTTGCGCAACACTTGATACAGAGGAATAAGTCAAGTTATAATTACAATGATATTGCACGGCTTCCTCGTAAAACATGAACCAAATAGCTGCAACCAATTGACCAGCTTGTGGTATCTCTCTGGTTTGTTGAACTAAATGACCAGCTTGTAGTAACTCTTCGGCTTGTTGGACTTATTGACCAACTTATGGTATCTCTCTGGTTTGTTGAACTAATAGACCAACTTGTGGTATCTCTTTGGTTCGTTTCCCGTATTTGGTGGGTTCAGCTACGTTTTCCAGTTAGCCGGAAGTTATTGTGTTGAAGATAATATTGTTGATGGGGATGGGGGTAGTACCTCAATAATTGAAGGAACTGCTAATGCAGAAACTGGCAGAAAGCAATATCTAGGAATACATAGTTCTATGTAATTGCGGTTGAGCAACAATGGCAAGAAATACAGCGATGTTTATGGAGTCGAAGGTAATGGAGTGAAAACACTGGTAAAAGAAAAGTGGTTGTTTTTAACAATTTAGAGAAAAAAAGGACATTTGAAAAAGAAGCAAGAGCTATGAGACTAACAAGGATTCTGAGAATTGCCCGACACATGGTCCGGTGACTAGGTGTATATGTAATATCTTCCTCGCCAGATAAAATCAGTAAGTCAAATTGTAACAACAACTTTTTATGTGTCAACAAAAAGTAAAATGATTTCTTTAAACAAAATATACTTCTCTAAACTATATAACTTTTTAAGAAAAGATTTCGTTCTCATTATAAGTTGTTCAAAACGTTACATAGCAAATCAAACTTTCTTTAATTTCATATTTAATAAAACTAATTATTTGATTCCGTTTTTTTTGCGCACCACTTACAGCGCAGAATAATTATGCCAAAATAGCACTATGTTTAAACATGTTTTTGTGAAGCTAAAAATGTAATACACCATACTGAATCCGGAAGGAACTGCTCATTCTATGTAGCAGAGATCAATATTTGCCTAGGAACCTCAAGTTTTAGTTCATGGTTAGTAATTAACATGTATGTTCAGTGTGATTTTTTTTTATTTAATGTTAAATCAATACAAAAATTTGTCTTTATTTATAATAATGCGGCATTGTTTTTTTAAATGTAAATAAAAGCTCTATATCTTCGTTTTGATATCACTGTGAGGTAAAGAGGAATATTGCATGGCTGCTAGAACTCGATATATTCTTGAGTTTAGTTCTCTGGGCTAATTAGGCTCGCTAGGTGTCGACAGCAAGCTATCCACAAAAGAATCGAGTAAGGAGATATGGCAACGAATTCTGGTGTATTTTTTAGAGACTTCCGCAACAAAATCCGGTACCAAAGGAGATTCTGAATTTTCCTGGTGACTACACCGACAAAGACAAATAGAGAGAGTGATGACATGAAGGCACACAGTGATTTTTTTTTCATGGCGGGATGAACACTGACGGGGTGCATCCATGTATATATATATATATATATATATATATATATGTTAGGGTCAAAGCCCGAAGTGCGGCCAAAGCCCGAAGAACTTAGCAATAAGATCGTATTTCGTGCATTGGCCGGCCAATGCGCGCACTGGCCGGGACGTACTGGCCAAAGTCCGAAGCGCTTAAACTTGACAGCGTATTTTGTACATTGGCCGGCCAATGCGCGCACTGGCCGGGATGTCCTGGCCAATGTTCTATCTAGACTAAGTTGTGATCGCATTTTCATTATTATTTCCATATATGGGCTCTCGATAAAATAGTTACTGACGAAGATCTTGAGAACATTGAACAAGAAATGGAGGTTGTCAGCTAACACATCTGCTGCCGTGGCGGAACGTCCAGACCAGTTGCGTGACAATAATGTGGCCAACAGATACTATATAGTTTGTGAAAAACATTGTAGTGCAGCTCATTCTTTTGGATCCTGTGGCAACGATGTCCATGCTATTTGTGGAATACCCAATGAAGCAGACGAAGGGTACGGAGGGAACATTACCTGCAGATTGTGTCACAACAAACAAGACATCATGGAACACAGATCAGCAGCTCATACTGGCTTGCAAACTCAAGGTGCTAATATGCTTAAAACATCAAATACAAAATTTAAAGATGGTGAAGTGGGTGACAATGTACGCATCCGTTTTCCAGATGTTGACAGAGGTCACGGTGATCCCCGAAGCGTGATTGCAGTTGTCATGAGCGTCGAGGACGGTTTCTACAAATTAGGAACGGAACATGGTGTTCTAAAACAACTGTATGCTAGAAGTGAGTTTTCAATTCTTCACGAAAAACTGCTCTTATTATCGTAAGTTAGCACTGATAAAAATCACTACGAACCATCGCATCTTTACAATCATTGACTGGGGGCCAAGGCTACACTCGCTTCAATTGCACAACTAAGTGCACAACAAATCGCTGCAAGTGTAAAAATAACAGGCTGCTATGTAATTCTAAATGCCATAAAAGTTCAACTTGTTGTAACAAATGATGATATTGATAGATTGAGACTACAGTACAATAAAAAATTTGAATTACTTTAATTAATTATCAATAAAGACTTAATTTCATGATCCTTACGGCATAAAAAAAAACCAAAATCTGCTCATGATCTTCTAATTAAGACTTTGGCCGGTCCACCATGGTCCGCGGACTGGCCGGCCAAAGGCCGAAATCAAGCAATGTTTCGGACTTTGACCGACCTATGGGAGGCGATATTGGCTAATGCGCGGATTGGCCGGCCAATCCTAGCATTGGCCGACTTCGGGCTTTGACCGTAACATATGTATATATATATATATATATATATATATATATATATATATATATATATATATATATATATATATATATATATATATATATATATATATATATATATATGTATATATATATATATATATATATATATATATATATTGAGTTTGGTGCTTTGATAACATAGGCCATAGGCTGTTTGGCAACAACGGCGTTTTTATCACTATAAGGGGTTAACAACATATAGTTTTATAACTGTAAAGCTATACAGTATACAATTTATACAATTTTATACAACTTACCTTCAAGTTGCCATTAATAGAAATTAACCTGTACAAAAATTAGTCTACTTAAATTTCAACACAATTAATACGAGATATGTGAAACAACATAGCATTATTTTAAAAAAGCAAACCAACTATACAGTCAATATAGCTCTACTTGTATGGTTAAAGGGAAGTATCACCCAGACGAAGGTAATGAACTAAACAATTCGCCAAACAAAAACTATCTGACTTAGACAAGTCACATGTTTACCATGGTGCACAGTTTTCTAGAGTCATAATACAAAATATTATTTGCTGTAATTATGTTAATTTAAAAATAACAATTCTGCAATTTTTTCAAAGGCCTGATGTAAACACGTTTAATTTATTATAGATAATTCTTCAAAACCTTAGCTTAAATAATTAAAACTGGGAAAAAACTCTTAATGTATAAGTCTTTTAATTTGAAGACATTTAATTCAAGAGAATTGTATTAAATGTACAGTTTTCTATCAAAATTTAGATGATTGCCTATAAAAATGAAGTGATATGTAATCAAATTGTAAAAAAAACTTATAACTTCAGTGCTTTTTAAAGAAATGTCAAGTATTAAAAGGAAAACGTTTTCTAATTATTTGTGAATTATTTCCGGTAACCGGAACTTATACTTTACTCTATTTCCGGTTTCTAAAATTACATTGCAACAAGTCATAAAATGCTGCTTGATTTTATGTTTAATTAACATTGCAAAAATGTATATATATATATATATATATATATATATATATATATATATATATATATATATATATATATATATATATATATATATATATATATACATATATATATATATATATATATATATATATGTATATATATATATATATATATATATATATATATATATATATATATATTATAGATAGATACATAACGTTTCTCTAATTGGAGATGTGTGACAGTTTAACAAAGCACGTTAAACTCCTTAATCTGATGTTAGTAGCACTTGACGTTGCTTCTGGTAAATATAATTAATTTGTTCGTTTTGTTCCGTTATGTTACTACTTACATAGTGTGTTTTTCTAAAAGTTAGTTTAATACGCTTATATATACTAATGGCAGAAAACAAGATATTATTCTGAAAATAAATTATGTTTTTGTTTTTGTTTTTTTAAGTAAGACTTTTTTAAGGGAAATTTATTTCCATACATCAGTTTGTTATTAACAATTACCTTTTTAAGGGTGCATAATATGAAGATAATAAAAACAAGAAATAAAGGCTTAACACTATTGCTGTTGAACGCGCTTTTTTAAATTGTATAATAATTGTATGTTTTAAATAATTATAAATTTTGCCTAATTGAACAATTAATACAGTTACACCCTATGTAAATTAACCTCTCGCCAAACTTTTTACCTTCACTGTCTTCAAATATTCCATTCGTCTGTTCCCTATTCCTTCCTATCCTTTCGACCTCAACAGAATAATAAAATAGGTCTTTACAAAATGGAAACCTTATGAGTTTGCAGAGCAGTAAAATAAATTTTAAAAAAATAAGCTATTTTGTCCAAACTAAAATTTAGAACTAAGCTACAAATTGTTCGATTCCACTTTGCTTTAAATAATAATAATAATAATAAATAAATGTAATGAATTATTAAAAATAAATTAATTCGATAAATTATTACAAATAAATTAATTTAATTAATAATTATAGATACATTTAATTAATTATTCAAAATAAATGAAATTAATTATTAAAAAAATGAAAATTAATTATTAAAAAATAAATTTAATTTAATTGAGTTCAGATATATTAAATGTAGCACACGGCCTACATTAGATTGCAGCCATTCGTATTTTACAGGTGTTAAATGTAGCACACGGCCTAAAGTAGATTACAGCCATTCGTATTTTACAGGTGTCAAATGTAGCACACCAAAAGTAGATAACAGCCATTCATATTTTACAGGTGTCAAATGTAGCACACCACCTAAAGTATATTACATCCATTCGTATTTTACAGGTGTCAAATGTAGCACACCACCTAAAGTAGATTACAGCCATTCGTATTTTACAGGTGTCAAATGCAGTACACCGCCTAATGTAGACAACAGCAGGTGGGATGGCTGCGAGACGTCTTATAAAAGTAACTGTACTTTGTTGTGTCACAAAGGATATCACGTTGAAGGAATTAAAACTATCACTTGTCAAGCAAATCGACAATGGACAACACCGGGAAATTGTGTTGGTAAAGACGACATTCATTTCCATCAATTAAAATAATAGTATTTTATGTGTTTGGTAAACACATTTAAATAATTATATAGTGCCTATTAGTGATATGTTATTGTTTTCCAATTTCAAAACACACTAAAATAGAGATAGTTCTTACATTACAAATAATGCTATATCAATGTGAAGGTGTGGGCCAGATAATATAAATTTTGTAAAATGTACTTAGTGTGTTTTTAAAATGATTCTAAATAATATAATTCACAAGGATAGTGTAAGTTACGATAGTTTTTTACATCATTTTTAATTAAGCACGCCTCATTTAAAAAAAATATTGTTTTAATGTATATCGACGAAAATTGTAAAGCATATAACAAAATAAACATACTATATATTACAAAACTGAAATGAAATTGTTGACAAACAGAAAACCGTTTTAACAATCAAACCGTTTATATTTTTTAGTAATAGAACAGTTACGTTTGTTTTAATATTTTAATGAAAATAAGCTTGTAACTATTAGATTATTTAAGACAAATGATTCAAATTTTACGTTTCAGTTATAAACAAAATTCTGTTGTTTTTAAGTATTAGTTTAGAACTCCTTAATCGAAGCCAGAACTATGCGTATCTGCAGTAATGTATTCTACATATCCCACATTCCAATTAACTGAACATCCAGAAAGTTTCAACATTTTTCTGCACTATTGCAACTATATCCAGTGTCTATATATCAGCTGCATTTCTTTTTAATTTTGTATAATAGTTTTATTTTTAAAAATTGTTTCTTAATTTCAAATGTAGCGCAAAAATATGTCTCACTAAAATGTTTTGTTTTGATTTTGTCTCTGATACTTGATTATAATACAATTTCATCAGCCAATTTCCAAACTTCCAAGTGTGAGAAGAGTGTTCAATAAATTAATACTATCAACAATACAGTATATATACTATAAGCAAGGGATCTTCCATAAATGACGTTAGGGGGAGAAGAAGGGTCGGTAATTTTATGACTGTCTGTGATGAGAAGGAAGGGGTAGGAGGGGGAGGGTTTAGAAAATATTTTTCTTTAATAATTCTAATTTAATTTTTTTTCGAAGTAAATTTATGCCAAACATTAGGCACAGCAAATGGTTTATGGCAATATAGCAGCAGTACCACAGGTAATTTGAAATGTAGAAGTGGATATAAAGTTGAAGGGAATAAAACTATCGATTGCCAAGAAAATGGACAATGGACAAAACCGGGTCGCTGTGTAGGTAAATATCGTTTTATTTTCTCTAATACGCTATAATTGGTATTGATGTCTTGGCTATTGTGCATCTCGTCTGTACTTCTTCCTTAATGTATTCTCCTGAAAACTTCGAGATTCTTCTGTTCATGCCTTGATAGTTTCTCCAGGTCCCACGTTCCTATTAACGAAACCACTTGAAAAGCTTCCACAATTTATGGCTTCTTCCAACTTTCTAAATAAACTGTATATCCTTTGCGTTTATTTTTTCTTTATATTTTAAAGCGTTATAAGGCTAATTTTCTGTCGGCTGTAACTTTAACAATACGTCCGTTTGCTGTTTTTATTACGTTCCAACACTTATACACATTTTCAACTTTCTTTTTCATTTAGTTTTACAATAAATTTCATAATACATTTTTGAATGTCTTTATTAAACTACTTTAGTTCTTAAATACTTGATATAAATCTTTGTGATTTATCTATCTTAATCTAGAATAGGTCTAATCTAGATCTAGCAAGAGTTACGCAAAAACTAGACTTAAGCAAACGAGTCGTAGAATCTAGATAATTCTATCTAGATCTAGATAATAATGAGTTTTTATACTAAACTATTTCAGACTTTCATTATTTTATATAAATCTTTGTTTGTTTAGTTATGGAATTGGCTAATTTAAGATAAAATTTAATTTAAAAGTTACTAGACTTAGATCTAGATCAAGATAGGGCTTTTGCGCATAAATCAAGTTGCATAAGGCAGAGGCGTAGCGACCATTCCCGGCGCCCATGACAAACTTTCGATTTTCACCCCCTCCCTTCAAACTTTCGATTTGCACCACCACTCAAACTTTCAATTTGCATCCCCCCACCCTCAAACTTTTGATTTCTACAATCCTCAAACTTTCGATTACTTTTTCCAACCCATTTTGGCGCCCCATAATGTCGGCGCCGGGGAACATATGCCCCCCTGCCCCCCCTCCCCCCCATCGCTACGCCTTTGAAATAAGGAGACTCAAAGTATTAAACTATACCATTAAAAACATCAGTGACGTCATGAGTCTAGATAGCTATGTAGTTAGAGCAGTGGCGTAGCGAGGTCGGGTGTCACCCGGTGCGGCACTTAATGGTGTCACCCCCCCCCCCCAGAGGCATAGAGACCCTTCCCAGGGACAAACTTTCAAATTTTCGATTTGCACCCCCCCCCCTCAAACTTTCGATTTGCACCCCCCCCCCTCAAACTTTCGATTTGCACCCCCCCCTCGAGTTTTTCTCTATATATTTTGCTATTTTTTGCCTTGGTGTCACCCCCCTAAATGGTGTCACCCGGTGCGGTCCGCACCCCCCGCCCCCCCCCCCCTCGCTACGCCCCTGAGTTAGAGTAATAGGCTTTTATGCGGGTGGCACGGGTTCTAGAGATATCACGTTATTGTTAAAAAAATCAATTTTTATTTTGTTTTTTAGATGTGAATGATAAAGTTGTCTATCTGAACTTGGCGGGATACAGGGCAGGTGAAGTAGAGTTCATCTGTTTCTTTGTCCTAAGCATATGAAGGGATAGTGTGGTCAGACCAATGCTGTTTTAAAAGATAAAACAACGTCTTTTTGAATGTGGGGTCTGGTTTTTTTATGACAATAAGTGACAGACGTGATGTTTTTATGAATGACCTCGAAACGCACAGTTATCTGAGGGATGATGGGTAGTCTAGTTTATTTTATAAGTTTTACTAAGAACGTAGCGCGAAAACGACTCTAACTTAAACCTTTTGTTTTACTTTAGTCTTTGACAATTTAAAATAATATAATGTCAGTGAAGAATTTTGAATATTCAAACTGCGTGAATATTGTTCAATAAATTAGGTGTGTCCAATATCGGTAATAATATCAACGATCCTGCACATTACCATAAGAAAGAGTAAATTTATTAACCAAAGGTATCACTGCCGTACTGAAAAGTAAATCTAAAATATATCTCTTTGCATATCAACATCAATTATGCTGCATCTTATAATCCAGTATAGAATTAGTCATTTACCTATTTAAAAATTGTTATTTTATTGTTTTGTAATTATAAATTTCAATTCCAAGAATTGGATTGTAAAACACCACAAACAGTAGTAAATGGTGAATGGAGATTTTGCAACCAAAGCACATGTCATTTGCATTGTGAAATTGGATTTGAACTGGAAGGGAGGGAAATTATCAGTTGCCAAGATGATGAAACGTGGTCATCTCCGGGTCAATGTGAAGGTAAATATAATTTTCTTTAATATGCTGCTTGAGGTTTTCTCCAGAGAACTACGAGTCTCATCTGTGCTGTGGTGTCAAATAGTAGATTACAGTCATTCGTATTTTACAGGTGTCAAATGTAGCACACCAAAAGTAGATAGCAGCCATTCGTATTTTACAGGTGTCAAATGTAGCACACCACCTAAAGTATATTACAGCCATTCGTTATTTACAGGTGTCAAATGTAGCACAACCCCTAAAGTATATTACAGCCATTCGTATTTTACAGGTGTCAAATGTAGCACACAACCTAAAGTAGATTACAGCCAATCGTATTTTACAGGTGTCAAATGTAGCACGCCTAAACTAGATTACAGCCAATCGTATTTTACAGGTGTCAAATGCAGTACACCGCCTAATGTAGACAACAGCAGGTGGGATGACTGCGAGATGTCTTATAAAAGTAACTGTACTTTGTTGTGTCACAAAGGATATCACGTTGAAGGAATTAAAACTATCACTTGTCAAGCAAATCGACAATGGACAACACCAGGAAATTGTGTTGGTAAAGACGACATTCATTTCCATCAATTAAAATAATAGTATTTTATGTGTTTGGTAAACACATTTAAATAATTTTATAATGCATATTAGTGATATGTTATTGTTTTCCAATTTCAAAACACACTGAAATAGAGATAGTTCTTACATTACAAATAATGCTATATCAATGTGAAGGTATGGGCCAGATGATATAAATTTTGTAAAATGTACTTAGTGTGTTTTTAAAATGATTCTAAATAATATAATTCACAAGAGTGTGTAAGTTACGATAGTTTTTTACATCATCATTTAAAAAATATTGTTTTAATGTATATCGACGAAAATTTAAAAGCATATTTGACACACCACCTAAAGTATAATACAGCCATTCGTATTTTACAGGTGTCAAATGTAGCACACCACCTAAAGTATATTACAGCCATTCGTATTTTACAGGTGTCAAATGTAGCACACCACCTAAAGTAGATTACAGCCAATCGTATTTTACAGGTGTCAAATGTAGCAGTGAACTCTACATCATTTGCCCCATAGACCGTCAGTTTTGAAAGCGAAACTTTTCTTTTTCTTTTTATATACCAGTATAAAATTAGCCAATCACCTATTTTTAAAAGCTGTTGTTTTTTTGTTTTGTAATTATAATTTGCAATTCCAAGAACTAGGTTGTAAAACACCTCCAACAGTAGTAAATGGTGTATGGGCGCTTTGCAACCAAAGCACATGTCACTTGAAATGTAGAAGAGGATATAAACTTGAAGGGAGTGAAATTATCAAATGCCAAGATAATGAAACGTGGACATTACCAGGTAGATGCATAGGTAAGTGCTATTTTCTTTAATACGCTATAACTTATAGCGATGTCGTGGCCATTCTGCGTCACGTCATTGATGTTTATTAGAGAACTCCACGTCTCTTATGTACTCCTTCTTTTTACATGATCCCAAGAGAACTCCACGTACTCTCTCTAATCCTACGTTTGTCATGATCCCCAGAGAACGTCTCTTATCTACTGCTCTCATTAATAGTTTCTCCACAGCCTATGTTCATATTACCCAAACTGCCTAAAAAGCTGTTACTGCGCTCTGCCAACTGACTCAACTGCCATACGTCATTTTAGCTTGATTTTTTTTAAAAATAGCTTTGTTTATTTTAAATATCTTATTTATTTGTAGCGTTACAAAAAGAGTCAATAACATAAGCGTTTAGTATGTTATTCGTCTCTAAGGAGGTCGGCGTGGTCGAGTCGGTAAAGCTCATGGTTGCTAAACCGAAAAGTCTCGAGTTCGAACCCTCGGGCAGATGAGGCTCGTTAGCTGGGGACAGCCACTCTTCTAGGAGAGACAACTCCAAAATTAAATAACTGCTGCCTTGTAGATTGTTCTTGGTTGGACAAAGGCTATGGAAGCAAATCCAAAAAGAAAAGCAGGCTGAAATCGGAGTCAATGGCCTCAATGGCGCATAACCAGTTAACACGTAACGCTTAATTGTGTTGGAGGCGTGGTCGAGTCGGTAAAAAGCTCATGGTTGATAAATTCGAACAAAGTCTCGAGTTCAAACCCACTGGCAGACAAATCTCGACCCCCCTTCAACGCTAATAATTAAGAACGAAGAAGAAGAAGCTTCGTCTCTATAATGATACAATGTTATTAGCGATTTTAAAATCCTCCTCTGTGAATAGTGTTATATTAATTTCGTGTTTTCAGTATCGGTAATACTAGCAATGATCTATTATTTTACTTTAATTACTTTAAGAAAGCGGAATAGGTACAAAAGGCATGACTTCCGGGTAAATCTCAAATATCTGTGTTAGCCTAAAATCATATATAATGCTGCATCGCATATTCCGTTATAGAAATAGGCAATTACACATAAAAATAAAAACTGTTCTTTGTTTTTTAACTCTAAAATTTGATTCGAAGAAACTAAATGTAAAACGCCACAAACATTAGAAAATGGAAAATGGAGGTTTTGCAACGGTACCACATGTCATTTGAAATGTAGAAGAGGATATAAAGTTGAAGGGAATGCAATTATAAAATGCCAAGATAATGAAGAGTGGTCACTACCAGGTAGATGCATAGGTAAATATTATTTCCTTTAGATACGCTCTATTTTGTAGCGAAGTCATGGCTATTCATAGACATACAATTACTGGGTAATTTAACAACATAACTAAATACAAAACAAGAATTGAAATATTC